CTTAATATAATTGTTATTTTCAGCTATCCTTTTTTAATTCTTCTTTTTTATTAGTTCTTTCAGGGATTTCAAATCATTTTATATAATATCAGACAATGGAAATCCGAACTATTAAAATTCAATAAAATATATGTTTCATAGAAATGTGATTTATTTTACTTCTCGCTCATTCTACGTTATTTTCAATTGTTTTCAATGAAACTCTCTTTGAGTATTAATCACAGTTCATTTTCACTATAAATATATTTTTATATCATTCGTTAATTCTTGTCTCGGTTTAGTGATTTTATCATATTTTTCAACTCGGAAATCACACAACACAAGAACAAATTTCCATTCAGAACTCTGATCAGTCATTACTCTATCTCTTCTGCCTCTATGAAATCACTCAAAGTAAATGGAGCAAAATGAATGTATAGAAGACGCCAAAGTGACAAGCTATGTGATGAATAGCATCATTGATTAGTGAAAATATTTGTAGATTCGATACTTTATCATTGAAAATGAAAACAATGTTTTAATGAAATTAGAAAAAATATTGTATGTAACACGATAGGATTTCATTTTTTGTAATTAGCGCTCGTTACACAAAATTAAACTTTTCGTAATTCTTTACTTAAATAGCTATTCTTGAAGTATGGCCAAGCATAAAATGCATCAAATATACTAATTTCACAAACCTATTCTGATAAAAAATAGAAATTTTACCTAAACCTAAAATAAGATTGAAAATTTGCACATCATTTTCGTATTTTTAATTTTTAATGCACACTGTCATTGCGATCTTTGGCCCCGCCACTGAAAAACGAATGTGGGCATTCAGTAAGAAATGATGTACTTAATTTCGTCGCACTTATTTCGAGTGCTTACTTCCGCTACCCGACAGCAGAGACATACGTCTTTGAATAATTTGGCTAGAGAGAGTAAAGCAAGAAAAGAGATGAAAATATCGTTGACAGATAATAATTTAGTCACGTGCTTCCACGGCCTCTTGAGCATCCGCCATTTTCTTTCTGTACTATAGCGGGTGTCAACGAATCTAGGTGTACCAAAATGAGAATTGGTATAGGTGAATGGAATGTGAAGAGGAGAGTTTTCACATATTTTTCACTTTCCGGTCACTTCCCGTTTCACCGGAAATGGCTCCAGTTCTAAATTTTTAAATGGAATACCCCTATATTGTAACATTTTTGGATTTCTGAGACAATTCTGAATGTGAACATTTGTGACATTTTCGAAAGTTTTTACGCATGTTTAATTTTTTCAGGGTCACTTTTGAAATTGCATCTAGGTGGCTATGATCATAAGTAAACTAATCTAAGGACAAAGAAAAGAGAAATGAAACTTTCTATGTTCTTTACCACATAAAAGTGGTAAAAAAAACATAGAAAGCTTAATTTATCTTTTCTTCATTATGATTTCCTATCACGTAGTAACGGATACATCCATCAATTTATTAATCTATGGACCTCAGGTGATATCAGAAAATTACGTTCATGGAGTTTTAGTGACTAGTTTGTTAGATATGAATACGACAAGTTGGCAAAATTACATTTTCGTGTCTATTATTTTTAAATGGCGACCATTTTTTAACAAGGTCTTTCCGAAAAAAGGATTTTTGACGAATCTAATAATACCAATTTATTTGCGATTGGGTTACAAATAAGAACATAAATTAAATATTTCTGAGGAAAATACTCGATGATAATTTATTTACTTTTGTCAGTTGTGCCATCGATAATATATTTATTTATTTTTATAAGCCCTTTCCGAAAAAAAAACTATTTGACTAATCTAACGTTACTAATTTATGTATCAACAAATTTAACAAAATTAACTGATAAGTTCAGCGATGCACTTACATTTTTTGCAATATCCTAATTTCTCAAAAATTTCACTATAATGATATATCAAAGTGCATTACTCCTTGTTCAAGACTCATTTCAGCTCGTTCAATTGTTCATCTCAACATGTTTCGTTACATTTGAGGCGTTATACTTCTTAATGCCAGTAGAATCCTTCTAAGATTTCGAGAGTGGCTGGGACTGTTGCATAGTTGACCCTTTTTTTAACATATCCCCAAATGAAGATATCTAGCACAGTGAGATCCCGTGAGCGGGCAGGCCACCGTACTGTACTATTGGTTGCAATAACTTGATTATTCAAATGCTTTATCGAGT